CCAAGCAGCAGGTTATTTATCTGACCTCTAGAAGGCTTCTAAGCTCATAGCACCCGTCCTTCTAGCCCACAGCCGGCCCAGGCTTGGATAAGCTGTTCACCAAAAGCAATGCTCCCCTTGCGATCACGTACGAGACTGCTCGGGGGGCGGGGGGCAATGGTAATTATTTGTTTCTGCAGAGGGGAACTTGTCACAAGGTTTCCTAACAAACAATCTTAAAAATGAAAGATTTGCATTTCAGTGCAGCTGGGCTTCGACTCCCAGAGGCGCCCGGCTCAAGCACCCGGGATGTGCAGGGGAGCGGTGAAGGAGCAGCACCCTGCCCCGAGCACCGGGGGCAAGCAAGCATTTCATGGCGCCTGTTTTGGAGAAGGTCTGTCCAGCAGAGACCGAGTGGCCTGAGCAGCACAGAGCAGGCACATCCCGAGCTTCCACTGCCCAGCCCCGCTCCTGCCGGGCTGCCTCTCCTGCCTCTGCAATGCGTGTAACTCTTCCCATTTTCCTGGGAGGAAAGAAACCCTTCAAAGAGTTGACATGCGGGGAGCATAGGGAAAACACTCCAAGCTAAACAGCAGCAGTGGAGCCTCCCTCGTGTCCTAAGCGATGCCTGACAGCTTGGGAAGGTTTCAGAATGAGGAGGACCAAGCTGCATGCCCGAGCCCTGCTTCTTCCGTAAGCTCCAGCCGAGCTGCTGCCGGTGCTGCGGCTCAAAGCTCCGAGGGCAGCCGCTCATCGGACGGGAAGGCAAGCACGACAGCAGCAAAGAGCCGACCAGGAGAGGCTTCTCAGCACAGCGGCCACCAGCAAAATCATGTTTACAGTGTAGGACCCATCCTCTGGCAACAGGCATACCCCAGATTCCTGCACCGGGGTGGAGAGCCGGGTTTCAAAATGCCCAAGTGTGCTCTGCATGTGTGGGAACTCGATCTGCCCAGTCATTTGCATGAGCCGGAATCCCCTTCCTCCCCGTGCAGAGCTGGACAGACGTACGGACAAGGGCTGGCACAGGGCGGTGTGCTCAGGGGGCGAGAGGACCAGCTGGAGCCTGGGCAGGCTGGTGCAAGAAAACCTGTGCAAGGAGAATCCCCTGATTTGGGAGGAGGAATGCATTTGCTGTGTAAAAGCTGGACTTCATAAAGAAAGGCACGACGATGTTATCGCCGTGAGCTGAAGTGCGGGTCAGTGCTAGCAATGGGTGCTGCCAAGAAATTAAAGGCTCCTGAGCCCTTTGCACGGCCAGGTTGGGACGCAGCACCCACAAGACGAGCCGTGGCCAGCAAACTCTTTCAATGCATGGGTCACCTGCACCCATCCCCAGGGCAGCACTAATGTCGCTAAAACTGCTATTGTTTTACCACCTGTACTTAGCAATTACACTTCTGGCTGCCATTAGCTACCAACAAACTGATATGCTAGCCCACTGCAGCCTCTGCTCTCCAGCAGCTTTCACATGGCGTCCCATTCACAGTCTTAGAAGTACTCGGAAATACATTTATTTATAGCATCTACGGTGCCACAGAATATTCCTCCCCTCTCTCATTGCTACTCGAGACGCCTACTAACTGCACGTTAGCCACCACGCGGGCTCACATTTTCCTACTCCTACGCCTGGGACACCAACGCCGTGTGCCTGGGGGCAGGCAGCAAGGACCAGCCCAGCCCCAGCCTAAAGGCAGCAAGTGACTCACGCTGCCAGGAACCCCACACCAGGGCGTGCTGCACCCCGCGGCTCTGCTGCCGTCCCCCCGCACAGCCCCCCAGATCGCAGGGGGAGCAAGGCCCCCAAACCCCCCCCGCCCGGTGCAAAGCCTTCCACACGGGGCAGGTCGAGGAAAAAGCAGAGCAAATGCCTGGTGTCACTGCTCTGCCAGGGGACAGCTCTGCCCAGAGCAGCTGTGCCTCCTAAATTCGGCGCTGGTTCCCAGCCAAGCGAGCCTTGCTCTTCTATCAGGCAGCGGCTACGCACGCCCCCTCCGCCACAGCCCCACTCACACCAGCAGTGGGTTCCTTCAGCTCCCAGTATAGAATCATAGAATCACAGAATGTTTTGGGCTGGAAGGGACCCCCAGAGGTCACCCAGCCCAACCCCCCCACAGGAGCAGGGACACCTTGAACCACATCAGGTTGCTCACAGCCCCGGCCAACCTGGCCTGGAATGGTCCCAGGGATGGGGCCTCCACCCCCTCTCTGGGCAACCCCTGCCAGGCTTTCACCACCCTCACTGGAAAGAATTTCTTCCTTAGATCCAGTCTAAACCTCCCCTGCTTCAGTTCAAAGCCATCACCCCTTGTCCTGTCACAAGGGGAAGACAGTTTGTCTCGCAAAAACACCCTTCACAACCTATCTTGAAGTGCTCAGCCGTGGCAGCGGTGATGCTACAGAACTTTGTCAGAGAGGAATCCAGCTGTGACAGAGCAGGTCTGGCCTTAAAGCTGGTGCCCAAAGCTTTGGAGCATGGAGGATTTTTTTACTTGCAATGCCCACCCACGCTGGGTTTGGGGTCTTTCAGCCGCTGCTGAGGAACGGGTGCTGGCACCACGGGCAGAGGGCTGGGTGACCCACCGAGCACGGGTGCGAAAGCCCGGAAGGAGGGCAGGGACCCCGGGCAGCTCAGGGGCCCCATGCAGCTCGGTGCCCCCGCACCCAGCCAGCCCCGCGCTCGCTTCTCCACCTTTTTTTGAGGGATCCTGGGGCGTGGGGCAAGCTCTATCAAGGGATTTTCCAGCATCCCTTCACCCAGAGGAACACAGCCAGGAGACTGTTGCCGATGGGCGCTCCTCTCCAGCAGCAACCCACCCAGATTTAAACCCACGAGCCCACACTCAAACCCTTACAGACTTTGTCCCTTCTCCAGAGGTGTCTCCTTTACTTTTGCAAAGCCCCATGGCTTCCCACGGTTACTTCCCACCCCAGCTCTGCCCTTTGCCTCCCTGCAGGAGTCAGGGAGGTCCCTGGCAGACCGCAGTCACCGCAGCCTTAGCCACGGGTATGGTACACCCCGGGGCATCACCACATCTGCTTTCACCAGAGCAGAAATCCCAAGAAAAACAGTTTCCAGACTGAGGGGCCACCCTGACTCCAGGAAAAAATACTGGAAAACCACCAGGAGCTGCAGAAGGGGTTTGAGGAGCCTGGCAGCCCTCAACCTGCAGTGACACTCAGGCAGGCCCTCGCCACCACAAGTTCCCTGGAGGAATGAGAACGCCTGAGCCCCACCACACCTCATCCTAATGGAATAACACGATCCCATTTTGCACTGTGCTATAGCAGCTCAGAGGGCTGGAACAAAACCATTGCAGTGCCAAAAGCTCCAGGCACTGAGCCACGCGGGTTTGATAAAGATGGCACTGATGTTTTTGGAAGGCAGCAGCCTTTTGCGGTTAAAATACCTCCCCCCATGCCAGCCGAGTGCCTTAGCTCTGAAGTGGCCGCTCCCATGCCCGGCAGACGCCACCCCCTGTGATCCCCCCTCCCCAACGAGCCAGGCGCCCTCCCCTCCCTACCCCTTCTCACTTCTGCTCTGTCCCATCAGCACAAAAGGAGCGCGGGTGGGCTGCCCGCGGGAAGGAAGGGCAGAGCAGGGGCCCCCGGCACCCCCAGCCCCGCGGGTCTGGCTGCCAGCCTTCGCCAGAGGCAGCATCCCACCCCCACAGCAAAACCCAAAGCAGGTCCCAGCTAGAGGTACCACGCGCCTTTGCCACCTCACCCGTGGAACAGGAGATAGAGACGGGGGCTGGAGAACAGCTCGGGGACGCTCAGCATTAACGGGGGTTGATACGCAGTCGCCCCCGCACGAGGCTTTGCCTCCGAGCGTGCGGTACCGACACACCGGGTCAGCGGGGGGCAGCGAC